TTAATATTGTTTGAAGAACAAACTGGAAAAGTCAGATGAGCAGTTCTCTTGTGGAAGGAAAATGACATTCACTTTAATTTTTCTTCATCCTGAACTACCTAAATTTATTCCAAAATCCTACAACTAATTCTTAGTTTGACATTATATTCCAACTTAGAAAGCATACACTTTCCTAAGCTATGCAGACACGCCGCTCATACTAGGAGGTGTTGAATTGGAAGACTGATTCATGAAACACTAAATTTTGCATATTCCTTGTGTTCTTGCTAGATTAACATCTATTAGTCTGGAAACAATAGTGGTAGGTCCCTTAAGAACCATCTTTTAAAACTAAGCTACTTGTGCATTTGCTTATGGATAAACCAGAGCAGGATCCTGAAATACCAGCCAGTGCATACAACATATACAACTGAGAATCATCTAGGAAAGGAACTATCTAAGCAATACAATGTAGAGAATACTAACCAGCATTTAGTATTCCGATTCACTCGAGAACAAAATAAAATGTCCTTCGCCACATTTTAAAATGTATATTTGAGCTTTTAAAGCATTATCAATGTACAGCCAGTTCCATTAATTAAACCTCTCTCCCCACTTGTTAACACTTGTTAAGACGTAATTAGGAGGTTTGAGCTACTTCAGTAGTTCCTAGATCAATTAAACAGGGCATCGCTTTGGGTTTTTCCTTATAGTTGTGTATGTAGTATAGAGATAACAGCAGCCAAGAAGAGCAGTGTCCAACTTAATGCCAGCTTGCCTTTAAAAAGAGCCAGCCAATGGTTTGCCAGGAATGGGTATTATCCAGCCATTTCTTCAGAATTCAATTTTTATTTAAAAAATAGCTAGGCCTTATCCTTATAAATAGAATCTCACAATTGTGAGAAAAATCTAAATGAATATGGCCATTTATTTATAGTGCGCAAGTGTGTTTGTAGATAAACTAGAAAAAGAGGTAACAATTCCCTTAGGCCTATGCCCTGGTCCTAGAGCACAGACTAGGCATGTGTTATAGGATACCTTTAGTCCCAAAAGAACTCTATGGAGCCTCTGACCCATAACCATAGATACCCTGATATGGTGAAAAAATATTGGAAGTTCTGACCAGGAGCGATACCTCTATTTGATGCCTTTACACCTCAAAGTCTTTAAAGTGAGACCTGTGGTTCTTCCTGGGAGCTGCTCTTCTCCCTTCTACCTAAAAGTGCAGTAGAACTCTCAGTTTGCGACCATAAAGGAGAGGGAAAACCTTGTCCTAACACATGTTAAACTACTTCCTTACATTTCAGTGTTGCAGTGGACATCATTGCTGCTGTTTTTATTACAGAAGTCATTAAATGGTTAAATCAAGATCAGGGTCCTTGCAAATGAGTTGCCCACCTGCTGGCTTTTGCAGGTGGGTTTTGCTCCCAGAGGAGCTCCTCAGCCACTCCTCCCAAATAAAACAACTTTTAAACAAAACAGGAAAAGCTCACAGCCTGCCTCTTTCCTCCTTGCAAACTGTTCCCTCACAATTTGCTCTCTATTTGAGAAACTCACTAACACAAGCTGTCATTTTTCAGCACCACAAGATTTCAATTTGAAATGGTTGATGTCAGAATATTATAGGAGGTGTATGTAGAAGAAAGAAGAGCATCATTATCAGGAAGATTCTCTAAAAACTGTGTCTGCTTGAGGGCGTAAAGTTCACTCAAAATCAGTAAAT